AAAAATTAGCCAGGCGTGGCGGTAGCGGGCGCCTGTAATCCCAGCTACTTGTGAGACTGAGACAAGAGAATCACTTGAACCCAAGGGGCAGAGGTTGCAGTGAGCCAAGATCGGGCCACTTCACTCCAGCCTGGGCAACACAGTGAGACTCCATCTCAAAAACAAAAACAAAACAAAAAAAAAAGGTTTAGCCTCCCCCTAACTCTCTTAGAACTCATTGAGGGGAAGGAGGCAGCTAAACAGGTGTGTCCTCCAAGGTAGACCAACTCAGACAGGGAGAGCCTCACCATGGCTGTTCTGGTGAGCCGTGGTGAACCTTCACTAGCATTTGCCTAGGGGGTGCCACACTCATTCTGATTGTCCACATAGAGTTTGTATTTCTCAGCTTGGGCTACTATAACAAAATACTATAGGCTGGGAAGTTATAAAAACCAGAAATTTGTTTCCCACAGGCTGGGAAGTCCAATATCAAGGCCCCAGCAGATGTGGTGTCTGGTGATGGCCCCCTTCCTCATAGATAGCCATCTTCTCACTCTAACCTCACATGGCAGAAGGGGTGAGGGGTCTCTCAAGTCTCTTTTATAAGGGCACTAATCTCACTTATGAGGGCTCCCACCCTGACCTAGTCACCTCCTAAAGGCCCCACCTCCAAATACCATCAACTTAAGGTGAAGATTTCAACATTTAAATTTTGAGGGGAGAGAAACATTCAGACCAGAGCAGGACTCTCTCCTGCTGGCCCCTAGGCTTGTGATTTGTGCAGAAGGAAAAGGTGGCCATGCCAGCTCTCTCAGGACTGTGGCAGAGTCCAGGATCTTGCTCACCTTTTTCAGACCATGAGAGGTGAATTAGTCAAACTCTGGTTGAGGGATGAAGAGAGCTGAGGTGCCATCTTCCTAGCCTCATTGTTTTAAATACCCTTGTTGATCACATTTTAATGTTATCAGCAGGAGTCATAAATAAGTTACACTGTGTGGATATAAGATGTGAAACTAGATTGTAAGTGAGAATCTAGAGGCCCTCAGCAATTTGTTTCCTAAAGTTCATATATCAGCCTTTTCACCTCTAATACATTTGACAAGTTGGACCAGCCTTCGATTTGATTTTGATGGGTCTCTCATGAATAGACTCTTTTCTGTCTGCTTCTAGGACTAATTAGAAAGGAGATACATGACTGTACAAAAATACCATTGAGGCAAATGAAAATAAGAAAATCAGTAATGTTGGCTCTGTTTGAATAAAGAATAAGGGTTAGTAGAAGTAATTGACACAGAAAAAACCCAGAGGACCCAGTTAATGAAAAGTTTAAGCACAAAATAGCACATAATATGTTTTGATAGCATAAATTTCACTATTTTGATTGGGCTTGAATGAAAAAATATATATGTATTGATGTTTAATTTGTCTATGAAAATATATTCTGTGAATCACACTATACTGTATTTTATGTAATATGACATTGATTAGTCTTGTGTTTGTGGATATTTTTTGTTCCATAGTGATGACATATTGCAAAAATCCAAACTATATACTTAAACTGTGCTATTCGCTCAAATGTACTTATCTGCATAATACTATATTGGTTCAGTTGCTTTAGAAATTAATTCTATTGATTCTAAAGAAATACTTAAATTCATACTTGTGTTTTATTGGTACTAGGTTTGATGCCAATTTTTAAGAACGATTGAGGCAGAATTTTACTTTAATATTATGAATTGTGTAATACCTTTTAAAGTATGGTGTCCTTTATTTACAGATCACTTGAAAGACTCACCGTTGATGGGAATGAACTGAATTTTTTCCCACGTGGAATTTTGAAGCTTAACCTGACAAAAATTCAGTTTGAGAATAATTTCACTCATCCTTGTTTTTGGAGAGAGAATTCTTTGAATAATCCACAACAACTTACTCAAATTATTTCTTTGTTCATTGTCCAAAATAAACTACATAAATTTTATGATAAGATCCCAGTAGAAGTTCAGAAGTTACTAAACTGGTGAGCAAATGCTAAAGCCCTTTTAACCAAAATATATCTTTAAGCATTTAAAACGTTCTTCATTACAGGCTTAGATGACAGTGTCACTAACACACACACGTACTCCATGACACACACAAAACCATACACACAATTCTTCAAATCGCTCCACCCAGTTCTTCAGGTATAATAATGTAATCTGAATCCGACCCCATTGTGTGATATTCTCAAGTTGTTACTTAAATCCAGTGTGAAATGTGAGTTGTCTATATGGCTGTTGCATAAATCTTTTCTATGAATTTCTGAGTTCACAGAAGTGGATTCTTCCAAAAAAATTATTTGGCTCCAGGCACACTATTCTGGGAGGTGTTTCCCTCCACTGTGACGTCATGGAGACCAGGAATAGAGCAGGCATGCATGGAGTAACCTCCCTCATGGTATCAATGACCAGCGTTGGAATCATTGCCTAATCTCAAGACCAGGGTACTTAAACTCCCACATCCTTACAGTCCACTTAGGCTTGTCGCTTATTTTCTTCAGATGGTAGAAGACCACTTTTATTGAATTACTGGCCATCAGTGCTTAGGTTATTAATTTAACAAATATTTGCTATATGCCTAAGTAAAATGGCTTCCCAGGCATATATAAATTATAAACATTGACTCAATAAAAGGCAGGAAACCTAAACAGCCTAGTAACTATTGGAGAAATTGAACAGTAGTTAAAAATCTACCAATGAAAAAGGAACTAGGCCCAGAAGGTTTTGATTTTAACGTATTAAGATGTCAATATTAGTGAATGCACATGAGAAAGTAAGAAAAATCACAAAGGCAGTAATTTTTTTGAAGAATTATAACCTAACTGGTGTGTGGTAAACAGATATGGGATCATGAGATTTGGATTCACCACAAGGTACTTGGGAAGCTGAATTTGAGATTCCTGAATTAAATGTGGACTCCAAAAGAGGCTTAATGGTCCCAGAGCAGTGAACTAACTCTCCCAGCAGAAAAAAATGTTTTTGAGAGAAACATCCTCCATTTAGACTGTAAACGTTCCAGAAAATTATGTTCAAATGAATATTAGCTCACAGCTTAAAGAAATTTCCAAATATATGAGGAAACAAGCCACCAAGAAAATAGCAAAACAATCAAACAGATACTAATTTCCAAGGACCTAGGATATTAGTATTGCAACTGTGACCAGAAAAACATGAGAAAGAAATGTTAAGTAAAATGAAATTCTAGAAACTAAAAAATAATAGTTAACATTAACTCAATGCGTGAGTTAAACAGCAGATTATACACGCATGAAGAGAGATCTGAAGAAATTATAGTAAATATGCAGACAGGAGGTAAAGAGAATGGAGAAAAAAGGACAAGATTTAACATACACTTACAGACCCAGAAAGTGAGAACAGAGAGAATGGTGGGAGTCATTATTCAATGAGATATTGGCTACGGATTCTTAGAAGTAAAAGACGTGAATTCACAGACATCATCAGGAGCTCTATAAAAGCTAAGTAAAATACCTTGTGACAAAACTGAAGAACCCCAAAAACAAAGATAAGAATCTAAAATCAGCCAGGAAAAAAAAAATCACTTACAAAAAACAACAAATCAACTGCCAGCAACAGTGGACCAGTGACTGAAAAAAAATATTATTTTGCCCAGCAAAGCTTTCAAGAACAAGAGAAAACATGGTATTTTTATATAAACCAAAACAGAATTTGCTCCCAATAAATTTTCACCAAAGGAAGTTGCAAAGGGTGTACATCGACAAAAGAAAAACGATTCCGGAAGCAAGTTCTGAGAGGCAAGAAGGAATGGTGAGAAAAGCAGTTGGAAAATATGTAGGTAAACAAACATGATCTCTATGAAATCCTAATAACAAATACGGGGTTTAAGAAATATAACTAAAACCAGACATCAAACAGTTAGAAATATAATTTTTAAAAGATACTTTTTATGATAGGAAGAAACAAACCTAATGTATAAATATATTAAGTGAAAAATGTGTGAAACATTATGGAAAAAAAGCTAAATCTTTATAAAATAGTGAAGGCTGAATTAAATGGAAGAGATATAGATACTTAGGGATAATAAGATTCAGTACTAAAAACACATGTTATTCCCAAATAGAGCTATAAATTCAATGCAATTCTGGTGAAGATGCCAATAGAATTTTCTCAGGAACTTGATAAGCTTACTCTAAAATGTACATGGAAAAGCAGAGGCTCCAAAATAGCCAAAAGAAACCTGAAAAAGAAGCCTAACATAAGAGGCTTGCCCACCAGACATCAAGACTTACTACAAAGTTAGAGAAGGCAATAAAGGTTGGTATTAAGTTCAAGGAAAGGCAAATCAACCAATGGAAGAGAAAACAACCCAGTTATTTTGTTCTGATGCATGTAGGAAAACTTGACATTTGACAGAATAGCCCTGTGGATCAGTAGTGAAAGAATAGACTTTTGACTAAATGATGCTGAGACATTTGGTCATCCACAAGGAAAAAACAATAAAATCAGATTCCTGCTATATATATGGCACCATCAGACACACAAAAAAATCATTTCCATTTTGATTAAAGATTTAAATATGAAAAGCAAAACTTTAAAGCTTTTACAAGCAAGTGTAGAAGGCTCTCTATGACTTCATGGTAGGCAGACATATCTTAAACGCAATGCAAAAAATATAAACAGTAAAGCAAAGTTTTATAAATTTGACAAAAGTGTAATATTTACATAAATATAAGATACTATCAATGAAATTAAAAGACAAGCCATTAACTGGAAAAAGATATTGCAATGCTTAAAATAGTTGAATAATATATATATATTATTACTATATATATACACACACACACACATATATATAAAGACAGAGAGAGAGATAGTCATCCCTTATCCTTGGGAGATGCATTCCAAGACCTCCAGTGGATGCCCGAAACCATGGGTAGCACTGAACCTTATATACATTGTGCTTTTCTATACATGCATATCTATGATAAAGTTTAATTTATAGGGGTGGTGGCGCCTGAGGTCACCATGGCTACCAAGCACAAAACCGCAGAGCCAGTGGTACCTTTGTTTGTGGATCGATACTTCATTCACTGGTACAAAGCAGATGTCAAAGGAAAATCTTGTGAGGACCACTGTATACCACAGCACTCTAACCGAATATGTGTCACCACATTGACAGAATCTCATCCAGTTCTTCAAAGTGGAAAAACAATTAAAAGCATTCCCTGTCAGATCAGTACCAACTGTAGCAGACTTCAGAACAAGGTCTCTGGGAAATGTAAGCGGGGGGCACAGTTTCTAACAGAACTTGCACCGCTCTGTAAGATGTACTGTTCAGATGGCGAAGCATATACTGTATCTAGTTGTGTTAGAGGATGTTCGATGGAAGTGATTGAACACATTCTCCATAAACCATCTATTCTTCAAGAAAAGCCATCCACTGAAGGCTACATTGCAGTTGAGTTACCCAAATTTGAAGAAAGTAAAAACATAACAGAAGGGTTACTGACACAAAAACGGTATGAAGAAGTCATGGTGAAAATGCATTAATGCCATGCATCAACGTCACAAGGACTGACATGGAGCAAAAAGCAAAGCGGAATTCTTGTTACCTGGCCTAAACCATCAGTGCACGAAAGGAGAACCAGTATATGTGAAGCATACTTCACAGCCATGTGCCGGGGAGGCCTAATGTTTCACTTAACTTCGTTTACCCTCTCTGGCTTTCGTAATGAGCCTTGGTTCCCATTTGTCTTCAGCCTGCCAGACCTGGCCTGCCCTTGTACTCACCCTGTTCTCTTGCATCTCTCTAACAACTGGCATGCAAGGAATGTTTTTTTCTGATTAAAAACAAGCAAACAAAGCTCTTTGAAGAAAATATAGAAAATATAGGAAAGTTTTAAGTAGCCAAGTAAAAATAATTTACTCATTATCCCATAATCCAGCAGTAAATACATTTGATCCTTGAACAACATGGGTTTGAACTGTGAGAGGGAACCATAAACGAATCAAAAATATATCATTAACCAAACACAAAACCCACTTATAGAGCAGGCTGACTTTTCATATACTCAGTTTCCAGAGGACCGACTGCAGGACTTGAGTTATGTGTGGATTTGGGTATATATGGAAGGTCCTGGAACGAATGCCCCATGTAAACCAAGGGATAACTGTACTACATTTTAACCTACTTCTGTTTGAACATTATAGTATGGTTATTGCTTTTGCCTCATTGTCCTATTAGTCTGAAGTTTGAAAAAACCTAACCCACCTTTCTTACCCAATCTGCTATATAATGTGACTACCAAAAAGTCTAGTCCCAGCCTATCTGCCTCAACGCCTCTCCCTTTTAGGTTGTAGGGAAGAGGCCAGAGTGCAGACTATATCTTCTGCCCTCCTTATGCCAACAAGGTGGCCTTCCCCTCTGAAACAAAGTAAAACTGCAACACTGTGACTGCTGAAATGAGGGACATGTGAAAAGGCTCTGAACAATACAACAGCTTTCCTAGGAAATGTATTATAATGCAGTGGGAAGCTAATTCTTGAAATATGCATATTGTAGTCACTCAGTCTCACATACTCTAGTTACCAGCAAATAAGTTACTGAGAATATGTCATTCAAAGGCAAGGAAGCCTTTGATAGGAACAAATGCTTTCACATCATTTAAACTAAAAAAAAAAACCTCCAACAACTATGAATTTATAGTTTAAGATCGATTTACACTGAATTTCAAATAAAAGGACTATACAACTTGTCATCTTTCTGTAAGGGCTGTAACACATAAATACATTTCAATATCCCTGTTTTTAAATAAAATATACATTTACATACAGAAAAAAGTTTATAAATTAGGCACAGTAAGATAACTAATAATAACAATAACTAATAACTAATAAAATAACTAATAATAAAGTAGGACAATTATAACAGTATGCCAGTATCACTACTGTTGCTCTTTGGGGCAATTATTAAGTAAAATAAGGGTTACCTAAAGAAGTACTGCAGTACCACAACAGTTGATTTGATAACTCAGAGGGCAACAATGGGTAGAGTCTACAATGTGGATACATTGGACAAAGAGATATAATTCCTATCCCAGGTGGGCAGTTTAAAACTTACAAATTGCTTATTTATGGGATTTTTCATTTATTATTTTTGGACCACAGTTGATAACTGAAACTGTGGAAAGCAACACCTTGGATAAGAGGACACTACTGTATATCTTCCATAAATCAATAAGAAAAGATATAAACCGTAGACAAGTAGATAAGTGATAGGAATGTGAAATTCATGGATGACAATACACAGATAGGTAATAAACATGAAGAATGTGAAATCTCACTAGTAATCAAGAAACTGCAATGTAAAATAGCAACAAGCTTTTTTTAACCTACCTATTTTATCAAAATTTACAAGATTGATATTGTGCTAGCTTTGGATGCCCGAAAATATGACTATCATCATGTATCATTGTTGGTACTATAAATTGGTGAAAGCTTCTTGGAAGGCAATTTGACAGTTTCTTAGTCTTTAAAATAGCACCTTAAATCTTAGGAATCTGTCTTACAGAAATAGTTACATGTAAACACAAAGTTAGATACGGGGATTATAACTGCAGCCTAAAACTGCATCAGTCAGAGAGTGGTAAAATAACTTACGGCATATTCATACTATGAAACATTATGATGCTATTAATAAGAATGAAGTTTTATTCTTAAGTTTTGACTTGGAAATGTTGTCCCAGTCAAAAAAATGTTTTGACTTGGAAAGTTGTTCAAGACATTTCATTAAACTTTCCAAGTCAAAAAAATGTTTTGACTTGGAAAGTTGTCCAAGATATTTCATTAAATTAAAAAAGGAAGTTATTCCCACAGACACATACATACAGAGTGAGGGAGCACACACGTGAGAAAGATTCCATTTATGTAAGAAACAGTTACGGATCTAGGAGCTGGAGGGGGCAACCCAAGCCAAGAGCTTTAGTTATTCTAGGGAGAGGAGTTGCAGTGACTGAAGAGAGGAATAAGCAGGAATCTCTGTGTTTTTCTCTATATATCTATATTGTTTGGAAATTTTACAAGGACTCATTTTCATGTAAATAAAAACTGACACAAGTGAATTATAAATAAAAGCGGCTGGAGGAGGAGCTAATGACAAATAGTTGGGGACACAGGGGAAAGATACAGGGATGAAATAGTATTTGAGAAGGGTCTTGAAGGACCAGTAAAATTTGGAACTATGTCTTGTGTTCAAGGGACCTTCCAGAAAGAGGAAACAAAATGGGAAAAGAGGGATGTGGACAAAGAGAAAAATGAATATTTAGCCAGAACAAAACATCCATAAAGAGTAGTGGGCCGGGCACGGTGGCTCACACCTGTAATCCTAGCACTTTGGGAGGCTGAGGTGGGCAGATCATGAGGTCAGGAGATCGAGACCATCCTGGCAAATGTGGTAAACCCCGTCTCTACTAAAAATACAAAAAATTAGCCTGGCGTGGTGGCACGCGCCTGCAGTCCCAGCTATTCCGGAGGCTAAGGCAGGAGAATCACTTGAACCCAGGAGGCAGAGGTTGCAGTGAGCCGAGATTGTGCCACTGCACTTCAGCCTGGGCAACAGAGTAAGAATCTGCCTCAAAAAAAAAAAAAAAGGGTAGTGGTGGCCAGGCATGGTGGCTCACACCTGTAATCCCAACACTTTGGGAGGTGGAGGCAGGTTGATCACCTGAGGCCAGGAGTTCAAGAACAGCCTGGCCAACATGGCAAAACCCTGTCTCTACTGAAAATACAGAAGTTAGCTGGGCGTGGTGGCACATGCCTGTAATCCCAGCTACTTGGGAGGCTGAGACAGGAGAATCACTTGAACCCAGCAGGCAGAGGTTGCAGTGAGCTGAGATCATGCCACTGGACTCCAGCCTGGGCAACAGAGCAAGACTCCATTTCAAAAAAAAAAAAGACGAAGAAATAAAAAAGGGAAGAAATAAATAGAGTTAGCTAGCTGTCCATTAGAGATCACTGAATGCATTGGAAGTTTCTTCTTCAGGCCTTGAGAGTCACTGAGTCCAAATAGTACAAATACACCTGGCAGTATGTCAAAGATGGACTAGTGCAGGGCAAGCTGGGTGGAGGTCAGTTAAAACACTCATGTCCATAACAGGTAAGGAGGGACTGATCCAGAGTAACAAGCAGGAGTATGAACAGGTGGGAAATGCAACAAGACAAATTTTGGAGGTAAAATTAACATACCTAGGTATGTGGGCCAAGTGAGAAAGGGAGGATGAAAAATGACTACGAGTTCAACCTCATCATAGACGACTGTGATATTAGTAAAAATAAGAACAGTGAGGGAGGGATTTGTCACCCAACCACTGTCATCCTCCAATGTCTACCCTTGGCTTTAATCCTGAATTTCTAACTACTGAAAATTTCGGTACTGTCCTACTTTTGCTGAGTTCTTTGGATTGCAGCTCAGCTGTGGGCTTGCACTAAAGTCACTCTAAGCTCAGCTACTGCTCTCACTTCAATGGCTGCCCTCTCAATTAGCAGCTATGTATGTCATTTTTGTCCTGTACAACTTATCATTGCTGTCTGCCTCTCTCTCTCTCTCTCCCCACATTGTATCACCTCAGACAGAGAATCCACTTCCATTGAGAGTGGGGTCAGAAGACTCATGTTCCATAGAAGTTTACCTTGACTTCCTAGTGCATTAGGATGATAGAAATTTTTGTTTGTTTTTATTTTTTCTTTTATTTTTAGCTGGCACATAATTATACATATTTATAACATACAGGGTGATATTTCAATACATGTATTTAGTATGTAATGTTAAATCAGCTTAATATATCTATCACCTTATTTATTATTTGTGTTGTTAACATTTAAAATCTTCTAGCTTTTTGAAAATACACAGTAAATTGTTAACTATATTCACCTACAGTGCTATAGAACACTAAAACTCCTATCTACCTGTGACTTTTTTCCATTTTTAACCTCTCCTATCCTCCTCTTCCTCTTACCCTTCCCAGCCTCTAATAACCACAATTCTACTCTACTTTCATGAGCTCAATTTGTGTTTAGTTTCCACATGTGAGTGCCTTTCTGTGCCTAACTTACTTCACTTAACATAGTGTCCTCTAGGATCATCCCTGTTGCCACAAATGACAAGCTTTTACTCTTTTTAAAGCCGAATAGTATTCCAGTGTATGTATATACCACATTTTCTTTATCCATTCATCTGTTGGTAAACATTAAGATCAATTCCGTATCTTGGCGATTGTGAATAGTGCTGCAATAAATATGGGGGTGCAGATGTCCCTTCAATATACTGATCTCCTTTGCTTTGGATAAATACCCAGTAATGAGATTGCTGGATAGCAAGTTAGTTTTATTTTTACTTTTTTGAGAAACCTCCATACTCCATTATGACGGCTGTACTAATTTACATTTACCACTGAAAGTGTGTGAAAGTTGCTTCTTTTCTGCATCTTTACCAGCATTTTTTACTTTTTATCTTTTTGATAATAGCCATTCCCACTGGGGTAAGATATCTTGTTATGGTTTTTATTTGCATTTCCCTAAATATTCGTGATGAGCATTTTTTCATATACTTATTGGCCAATTTATTATGTCTTCTTTTGAAAATATCTATTCTTTGATCATTTTAAAATCAGATTTTTTTTTCTGCTGTTGAATTAAGTTCCTCATATATTCATTAGTGCCTTGTCAGATGAATACTTTGCAAATATTTACTCCCATTCCGTAGGTTGTTGATTCTGTTGATTTTTCCTTAGTAGTGCAGAAGGTGTTTAATTTGAGATTAGTCCCATTTGTCTATTTTTATTTTTGTTGCTTAAGCTTTTCAAGTCTTAACCATAAAATCTTTGCCTAGGTCAATGTCCTGAAGCATTTCCCCTATGTTTTCTTCTAATGGTTTTATAGTTTGTTTAAATACTTAAACATATTTTTATAATCTAATGGTTGTGAA